CAGTCAGCTACTCATTTCAAGAAGGTAAGGTACCATTAAAAACTTTTAACCAGGATTTGCCCATTCTATTGATTGTTTAGATAAATGTAAAGAAATTACATTAACCAAAGCTGAAATTATATTTTGCCCTTTGTCTTTTTTTATTTGAGTCTCCATGCTCATTTTCTCCGATGCTAACCACCTTCTGTGACAGTAACCGAAATTTGGAGAACAATATCCAGAATGGGGAGGCGATGGCCTAGTGGTATTGTCGCTGGACTGTTAATCCAGAGACCCAGATAACATTCTGGGGACCTGGATTCGAATCCTGACATGGCAGATGGTGGAATTTGAATTCAATAAAATATCTGGAGTTAAGAATCTAATGGTGACCATTAATCCATTGTTGGTTGTCAGAAAAACCCATCTGATTCACTAATGTCCTTTAGGGAAGGAAACTGCCATCCTTCCCTCGTTTGGCCTACACATGACTGCAGACCCGCACAATGTGGTTGACTCAGAACTGCCCTCTGGGCAAATGGGGATAGGCAATAAATGCTGCCTAGCCAGCAACGCCCTCACCCTGTTGTTGAATAAAGAAGAAAAAAAATGAGTTGTGCTCTTTTTCTTTTAAGGACCTGCCTTGCTTTCAACCCAGTGTCCAATTTCTCTCTCACCTTTTGAATGGTTTCATTCGTGCTTGTTACAACAAATAGATTATATTTCCTTTCCCATGCTACAGTATGTTGATCCCAAAAGATTCTATTCTTTATTCTTTCTCTATCTTATTCTTGGGAGAAGTTACAAGTTCCCTTTGGTCACATGATCCATACGATTCAGTATTTACAGGTAATTTGTTGACACTCGTTAATTCTATCTCCAATATTGAACTCAAGGCTGCTGCCAAGTTCAAAATTACCTGCCAGTTACTGAGACCTAGATGAATCAAGTTCTTAGCAGAAAACTTACTGTTTTACTAAAATTGAATTCATTCTTTTCAATTCATACTCTAACCTATCTGTCCTGGTCTGAATACTAATTAACTCTCTCTCACATCTTAGGCTAACTCTGGAGGTTTAAAGCCTAGATGTTTTACTCAGTTGAAGTTACATCCTCGCTGATCAGATGCAAAAACCTCCTTTCACCACTGAAATGTGACCCACTTCCTGTCATATCTTCCTGGCTTTCATAGAAACGATCCTCTTTGTGCATTTTTCCTAAGCCCTAAATACATTAAGTTTCTGTTTGCCGAGTAGTGACTTTTGTACTCTGGGTTGTAAAGTGCTCACGTGTTTCTTAAGTAAGTGCATTTGAGTTTTAACATGTGATGCAGCTTTGCTTAACGTTTTGAGAAAAATTTTAGGAAATTACAGCATGTTGTTTTAAACGTTCTCACCCTAGTATATGTATGATTTTGTCACAGCTGAGAAATGTGGCATTTAGAATAAACATTTAATGGACCTCTATGAAACACCACTAAAATGTAATTATTGAGCAAGCATGTGAGTTTAGCATTTTAAAAAAAATTATCATGTGAAATTGAATGCGTTTTTTGCAAATTCAAACCAAGTTTGGCTAAGGTTTCTGCTTAAGTGTTTGAATGCTCCTGTCAGTACTCAATATGTTTCTGTAGCAAGTCGTAGCATTTCACTAATTATGTACATTATTTGGTGAATTATTTGGATTGCTAAGTTCTTCGGTTCAAATTTGGCATAATAAAAATTTACATGTTTATGACATAACAACCTCAGCAGTAAATACCAGTCTGTTGTGAAATAGTGGCTGCAGCAGCAAACAGCGTTTTAGTAATTGGTTATTTATAGACAAACTGCTAATTCTGATGAAAGGTTATCATCTGAATGTTAACTCTGATCAGATGCTATAAGACTTGAATATTTCCAGCATTTTCTGTATTTATTGCAGATTTCAAATGTTTAACTTGTGATTGGCTAGCAGATTTTTAAAAATTCATTCATGGGATGTAGGTGTCGTTGGATGACCATTTATTAACTGTCCCTAGTTAGTCTTGAGCTGCAGCCTTGAACTGCTCCAGTCTACCTGCTGTAGGTTGATCTACAATGCCACGTTTCCTAGTCAGGATGTGTGACTTGGAAGGAAACTTGCAGATGGTGGTCTTCCCATGTATCTGCTGCCCTTGTCCTTTGAGATAGGAGTAGTTGTGGCTTCAGAAGGTGCTATCTAATGATCTTTGGTGAATTTCTGCAGCACATCTTGTGGATAGTACACGCTACTGCTACTGAGCGATGGTGGAGGGAGGGGATGTTTGTAGATATGGGGCCAATCAAGCGGGCAGCTTCGTCCTGAATGATGTCAAGCTTTTTGAGTGTTGTTGGAGCTGCACTCATTCAGGCAAGTGGGAAGTATTCCATCACATTCCTGACTCGTGCCTTGCAGATGGTGAACAGGCTTTTGGGCGTCAGGAGGTGAGTTACTTGCTGCAGTATTCCTAGCCTCCGACCTGCTCTTTTAGCCAGTTGAGTTTCTGATCAATGGTAACCCCAGGATGTTGATGGTGGGGGATTCAGCGATGGTAACACCATTGAATGTCAAGGGGCGGTGGTTAGATTGTCACTTAGTTCATAGATAGTTCATAGAATCCCTACAGTGCGGAAACAGGCCCTTCGGCCCAACAAGTCCACACCAACCCTCAGAGGGTCCCATCCAGACCCATCCCCCTATAACCCATAGAACCAACACATCCCTGAACATTACGGGCAATTTAGCATGGCCAATCTACATAGCCTGCACATCTTTGGGCTGTGGGAGGAAACTGGAGCACCCGGAGGAAACCCACACAGACTTATTGGTGATGGTCATAGCCTGCCATTTGCGTGGCACGAATGTTACTTGCCTCTTGCCAGCCCAACCCTGGATATTGTCCAGATCTTGTTGCATTTGAACTTGGACTGTTTCCCATCTGAGAAGTTGCAAATGGTGCTGAACATTATGCAATCATCGGTGAACATCCCCATTCTCTTACCTTACGATAGAAGGAAGGTCATTGATGAAGCAGCTAAAGATGGTTTGGCCTAAGATGCTGTCCTGAGCAACTCCTGCAAAAATGTCCTGGAGCTGAGATGACTGACTTCCAACAACCACAACCACCTTCTTACGTGTCAAGTATGACTCCAACCAGTGGAGCGTTTGCCCCCTCATACCCATGGATTCCAGTTTTGCCAGAGCTCCTTGATTTCACAGAGTTGAAATCAGTCTTGATGTCAAGGGCTGTCCCACTCTCCCTCACCTCTTAGAATTCTGTCTTATGTCCATATCTAAACTAAGGCTGTAATGACATCAGCATTTGAGTGACCTTGGCAGAACCCAAACTGGGACTCAGTGAGCAGAATATTTCTGAGCACTGTTGATGACGTCTTCTATCTAATGATTTTGTTTTATTCATTCATGAGATGAAGGTGTGTCTGGTTAGGCCATTATTTACTGCCCATCCCTACTTGCACAGAGGGCAGTTTAAGAGTCAACCACATTGCTGTGGATCTGGAGTCACTTGTAGGCCAGACTAGGTAAGGATGGCAGTTTCCTTCCCTAAAGAACATTAATGAACCAGATGGATTTTTCTGACAATCTACAATAGTTTCATGGTCACCATTAGACTCTTAATTCCAGACTTATTATTCAAATTTCACTACCTGCCATGGCAGGATTTGAGCCCAGGTCCCCAGGACATTACCTAAGTCTTTAGATTAGTAGCCATCTCCTCCCCTCAAGAGTAGAGTACTCTGTTGAGAGTAGACTGGTTTTTGAGGACAGAATGTATCTATTTTCTAAATAGATGCTACTGAGTGTACTGGAAGAGCTTGGCTAGGTGAGGGGCAAGTTCTGGACCACAAGTCTTTAGCACTATTGCTGGAATGTTGTCAAAGCTCATAGCCTTTGCTGTAACCAGTGCCTCCGGCTTTTTCTTAATATTATGTGGAGTGAATCAAGTTGGCTGAAAATTGGTATCTGTAATGCTGGGGACCAGTAGAGGAGTCTGAGATGGATCATCTGCTTGGCACCTCTGGCTGAAGATTGTTGCAAATCCTTCATCCTTATCTTTTGCACAGACGTGCTGGGCTCTTCCATCATTTTGAGGATGGGGATATTTGTGGAGCTGCCTCTAGTGAGTTGTTTAATCATGCACCACCACTCACTATTCAATGTGGCAGAACTACAGAGTTTGGATCTGATCTATTGATTGTGGGATCAAGTAGCTCTCTTTATCAATTGCTGCTTAGCAGGCAAACAGTCCTGTTTGGTAGCTTCATCAGGTTAACACCTCATTTTTAGATATACCTGATGTGGTTCCTAGCATGCTCTCCTGCACTCCCCATTTAACCAGGGTTCATCCCCCTGGCTTGATGGTAATGGTTGAGTGGGGTGTATGCTAGGACATGTTGCAGATTGTGCTGGAGTACAGTTCTGCAGTTAGCTCACAGGGCTACATGGATACACGATGGAGGGTAATCACAATGTGAAGACAAAGCTTTGTCTCCACAAGCACAATGCGGTGGTCACTTTTATCAATGCTGCCATGTACAGGCACATCTGCAGATTGATAAGGATGAGGTCAAATATATTTTTCTCTCTCGCAGGTTCCCTCGACCCAGTCTGGCAGCTGTGTCCTTTTCGGACCCAACCAGCTCGATCACTAGTACTGCTGCTGAGTCACTTTTGGTGGTGAACATTGAAATTCCCCACCCAGAGTGCATTTTCTGCCCTTGTCACCCTCAGTGCTTCTTCTGAGTAGTGTTCAACATGGAAGAGTACTGAGTCATCACACGAGGGAGATGGGGTAATCAGCAGGTTTCCTTGCCCGTGCCATAAGACTTCATGGGGCCCATAGTCAATTTTGAGGACTCCCAGGGCAACTGTCTTGACTGTATATATTAAATAGAAATGTTTATGTTGTTACTCAAAATGTTGCATAAAATACATTTAAATTTTGTTATTGTTCACATTGTTAACTTGCAACATGTTAGTTGAATGCAGTTTGCCTTTACATTTGTAGGTCAGAGGTCCTTCAAATGCTGATCCATCTGTGATTGTGGACGACCTCCTAACGCCATGTTCACCTGGTGATCCCAACGCTTTGGAGATGACTTGGATTGATGTTCCAGGGGATAAGCTTCTGGAGCCTGTCGTGTCCATGGCAAGTGACCTCAATTTCTGCACATTTTAGTGTTATGTCTCAGATCTTCAGTTGCTTATAATTTTCTCCTGTGGGAACATATCATGAGGATGAAATGTTTACAGCCATCTTCTGTGCCTATCCAAAACAGTCATCTTGAAAGAGTTTAATGAATCTGTGCACGTACAATAAATAAATTGGCAGCTGTAGATTTATGTTTTGCTTTAACATTGATCATTTAATATGGCCTTCGCTCCTGTTTCGGGTCACAAATTTCGTTTTAAAGTTCTTAGGTGCTAGTCTGTTGTAGGTGTACCTATAAATTTAAAAGGTAAACTACACTTGGAGTAGTTGGTGTTTTTATGGAGTGGCCTCTGCTGCTTTCTGGCATTTCCTTGGTCAGCTCTCTGTTTCACAACCTTTCTAGCTCCTCCAACAACCCTCTGGCTGTTGACCTTCAGACTGCCGCTTATACTTCTCCCTGATCCACCCTCTAATGGCTGACTCTTTACTCTACAGCTCCCTGACCGTGTAGGTGGCGTTTCATTTCATCGACCACCTGCTTTTTGACTTGCTTCCCCTTCCTGAACTCTCACTGTCACCAAAGAATCTGGAGATCAGTGAGTGGCTGTTCAGGAGTGGGGAGCAGCAAGCAAAAAATTCAATGAGTCAGGGAACAGCAAAAGCCCCAGGTTCCAATCGTCAATATCTAGAAGGTGGTTTAGGGAGTGGGAGAGGCCATGAGCTGTAGAGTTGTCAGTTCGGAATAGAGTGTGAGACAAGTTGTGTGCTTGGAGGGTTGGCAGCAAGACAGATGTCAAGACGCTGCAAGCCTGAGGGTTGGTGACAGGGTGCACCAGGGAGTGTGCTGTATGGCGCGCACAAGATTCAAGAAGCAGAATCGGCAGCAACCGGAGGTAAGCCAAAAGCTCCCGTAGGACTTTTATAATTTTTAACTTTTTAAATATAAACTAAAAAAAATTTCATTGACCAACAGGAATTTAGCAGTAAAGTATTTCAACTTGCACAGTAAAACGTTTTTTTTCTCTGTTGACAAAGGTTCTGTAGAGCCTAATTACAGCTTTTACTTAATGGGAAACTGTAATTAACTTAGTCATTTTACTTAAAATTAAACATAACAATTGTAACTGACGTTATGTAGTATATGCATCAGATGTCATGTATGCTAATTGGTTACTTTAGTAAATGTGAAAATGACACTGGAAATGCATTTGTCGCTATTGTAAAAATTATTTCACACAAGATACTTTGAGATGTTTTGAGATACAAAGCGCTGCATAAATATCATTCTACTCTTCAAGTGAAACGTTACTAATCCAAATGGAAAGAACCACATTCTTTAAAAGAAAACTAATCTCTAGGTGCCATGATTTTTCTGTTTCCCTATATTTTAATGCTTGTAAGCTCACTGCCACTCCCCATCCCTGCCTCATTCTATGTATTCCTATTTTTGGGAACTTTAGATCTGAAAAATATTTTCTATTTTCCCCTTTCATGTTTTTTCTGGCTTTTTGTTTTGTCTTTCAATTTCTGTCTTGTAGTTGATTCTGCCGTTGAATTTCTTTTTTTTTTGGTTTTACTTAGTCCTCCTTTCTTATCATCCTTTAGGCCCACTATACACATGTGGTCTTTGCTCTGTATGTGTCAGATTTTACCATCAGTTTCATTTATCACAAACAAATAAAATGCTAACCTGTTTTCTTAAATAGAGGAAGACAAATAGGAGGACGTCATGCTTAACAATAGTTTCCAGGTCAGACTACATCCTGGATACGAAGAAGTCTTTATCCCCTGAAGGCGCGACAGAAATATAAAATTCAGTCTGAGAATTTAAAGAATGAATTATGAGCAAAGGCCAAAGAACCAAATCCATCAAACCATGAAAAGAATAAATTTGAAAGAGATCTTCAATATACCATAGTATAGCTTGTGTATGAAAGGTAAATCTGGGTTTCAGATTGGGGGAGGGCAGGTTCAAATGAATTAAAAGCCAATTTAGAATCAGTGTTGGGAAGTTGTTCAAGTTACTGTAAAATGTATTTTTAATCAACAAAAGCAAATAAGAAAGTGGGAGAACTTTCAAATTGAGATTCTTTCTAGATGGATGAGTTAGGACCAGCCAAATTACCACCTTTAAGTGTAATTTGTCTTGTAAACTGTGCAGTCACACTTTTTGCCCTAAGTTATGTAATTGTCACTTGAGATAGTAAACTCACTACTCCATTACCCAACATGCATTGCTTGTGTTTGCAGGTGTTTAAGCCAATAATAATGTGCTTGCAAATCGTGTGGCTACTTAATTAATGGTTGAAATCAAAATCTGAATTGATACCCACTGGAGCAGGAGGAGCCAATCAGTCTTTTGAGCCGATTTCACTGTTCAAGTAAATTGTGGGTGACCTGTGTCATGATTCCATCAATAACTCTTGGTATCCTTGCTGAATAAAAATCTTATGGATCTCAGTTTTAACATTTTGAATTAACCTAACTTCACTCTTTTGGGGAAGAAACCACATGGTTTTGACTACCCTTTGTGTGAAGAAATGCTTTCTTTCATTATATCTGAACAATTTATGTCCAATAGTAAGGTTATCTCCCTTCTAGACTGAAAACCAAGGGACACAGTTTCTCATCTATAAAGCCTTTAAATGTTTTAAAATCATCTTAAATGCCATCTTCTTTACGACATTTTAAAGTACCATCTGTATTCATGGGAATACAAGTTTAGATTATGTAACTGTCCTTCTATTTCAGTATCATTTTGGTGAGGTTGCATTGCGTGCCTCAAGACCAGTAAATTCTTTCTATTGTGCACTGTCTCGAACTGTGAATGCTGTGTCCCAGTTGTGGTCTAGGCAGAGTTTTGTCATCTTCAACTGTGCCTCGATTCGAGATGACACTGACCTACTCGGGTTTTAATTCTGCTGTGAGTCTTCATGTGACTGAATAGGTTAATTCTTGACCCGAACATCTTTCAGCAAATGGGGCAGGATGACCCATGAGTTAGCAGAATCCAGACTGCAGGATTTTTGTATCTCTCCTTTCCTGCCTGCCATTAAGGCATTTGTATCAAGCATGATGCATGTCGATGGACAAGTTGTTGCTGTTTTGAATGTTTGGTAGAGTGCTCTTTACAGTCATTAATGTCAATGCTGTTATGCTTCAAGAACAACTTCATGGTGTCTTTATAACATTCTCTTTTTCTTACCTGGTTCACTGACAATTCGAGAGATGAGAAGACAAGGTCCATTGTAGTTTATTTTGCAAGAATTTTTCCTGATTGCTGGTAGAGCCGACTTGGAGGATGCTAGCATTTATTCAAGTTTCTTCTCCTTTTAATATACAGAACGTGGCAAAAGCACTGCTGGTGGAATTTCTCTAGAGCTCTGGTGTGTTGCTGATGCGTAGACCAGCAACTGCTCTATACCAGAACTTCAGATTTGTTAAGGTTTTTGTTATCAAACACTCTGCTATATTTTTTTTTCTAGAAGGCTGAGCCGACGCAGTGATTCTGTGTTGGATCTCGTTGTTAATGGTTGCCTTTTGAGAGAAGTGGTTGTTAAGGTGTGAGAAGTGCTCAATATACTGTGAAGTCCCTCATATATGGGAGATGGAATATTTTGCTGACCATGTGTGGCTGGTATGTTTGTTTTGACAATGTTCAAGGATGAACAGAGTTTCTTGTAAGCAGAATTGAAGTGATAGTGGATAGTGGCTTGCAAATCTGATGCAGAGTGGGCAGTGACACTGTAGTCATCCAAATACTGTTAATCATTTGATGGTCAGTTTAGTTTTGGCACGGAGGCAATTGAGATTATAAAGAAGGAGTTCTTTTCTTCTGTCTGCAAGATAGGTGCACAAATCCTGATGTGAGGAAAAGCCCACCAGCTGTGAAGGACTCAGCTAGGATTATCATCCCGGCAATTAGTGTTGGGTTTTTTTTTGTTTGATTGTATGTTGCAGCTGTCAGATAAATGGTAGTTTATCCATAGATTCTACACTGGGTATGGAGAGAGAGCCTGGAGAATATCAGCTGCCACTGTTGATTCAAGATTGTATTGTCAGCAATGTTCTTTCTGGCATTGTCCACTTGACCCTGTTTTATCGATGTTCCTGAATCTGCAAAAAGCTTTGCATGGCATTTTGTTGGACTTCTCTAGTTTTCCCTTTGCACCATTTGTCTTTTGTGTTTCAGATTTGTCTTTGGGTTTTAGCCTTGAACTGTCTGAATGTTGCATTCTTGAATTGAAACCTTTCATTGTTCTGCCAGGGAATAAAGGCTGCTTCTTTCTGTTCAAAGAGGTCATGTATATTCTGCATTGTTGGTCAGACCAGTTGGATTCTCGAATCGTTTGGTAGGGCTGAGAGACTGAACCAATTCCTCTTGGACTTTTGGTTCTTACGATAGCACAGTGTGCTAGATGGCAGTGCATTGCCAACTGAACAAGTTTTAAAAAAAAAAAAAAAAAAATTCTGTCTAGCATGTTCCCTGCATGAATCAAGTGATATGTTCATCACTTAGATCATTGACTCAAACAGTGACATTATCAAGAAATTCCAGTGTTTTTGTCATTCTGGCAATGTTATAATGAGGCCATGCTAAGCACGCTTTCTTAGTAGGGGTAACATCATGTCCATTGGCTTTCTTCACTCCACTTTTCCCAATGGTGGTTCTTCTGAAGTTGGCCAGCCCTGTCCCCAAGAAGGATGGTCTTTTGGCAGTAAGGACTTTATCAAGGTCAGAAGTGAACTTTTCCTCCACTGCTTCACCTGAGTAAAGAGCTGGAGCATATTGATTATGGCTGAGCTTGAGGTATGGGTGTCATGAGTATTTCATTCATACATTTAAGATTCTGCCAGTACATCCAAGATCGTATTCCAAATGATAAAACCAACTCCACAGACACCAAGATTGTTGCGATTGCATAAAATGTGAACTGTTGATCTTTGAATCCAGTCTGCCAGTGTAATAACTGAGACTTTCATAGTCTCAAATGGTCTTAAAAACAGATCAAAAACAACTGGCTTAAAATGGCCATAGACATCGCCAAACCCCACAAGTTGCCAA